GGGCGGCCGCCCAGGGCTCAGGCCGCACGGTTGGGGGGGTCCCCCTTCCCCCGACGCCAGGGCCAGCGACGACCAAGGGCTGCGCGCACTCGATCAACGCTCCAACGTTGAGCGCGCGGGCGTGGAGCGGGAAACCCCACATGGCAGCGCGCACCCCGAAGCGCGGCTGGCTGGGGCTGGGCGGCCCACGGGGAATCCTAGCCACCAGCGAGGCAGTGGTGAGAGAATCGCGGTTCGGAGCCATGGATAGGTAAATCCCTGAGACTCCCATCCCCAGTGAAGCACCAGAAAGATCCGGAGGTGGAGGTGTGGTTCAGGTGGTAGAGCACCAGCCTTGGATAGAAAAAGTCTGTGTGTACCAGCACACACAGAAATGGAAGGGGAGGGAGGGGAGGAGGGAGGGGAGGAGGAAGGAAAAGGAGGGGAGGGAGGACAAGGAGGCAGGGAAGAAAAAATGAGTATCCTCAGGGTGATAAAATCAACTATTTTATCGAATAGTTTGAGGAGCATTGCTGGTACTACTGGGCTTGAACCCAAGGCTTTGCGCTCCTGCTTGGCTTTTTCATTCAAGGCCAGTCCAGCTTTTTGCTGTTAATTGGAGATAAGAGTCTTCCAGCTTTTGCTGCCTGGGCTGGCTTCATCGACCATGCTCAGATCTCAGCCTCCGAGGGGCTGGTGTCACAGGCTTGCGCCACAGCACCCAGCTGGTATTAATTCAAGGGCCTGGTAGGATCCAGCCGTGAATCCTATTCGTATCTCAGTTGGCTGTCTATGACTACCTCAGCCTCCTTGCTCCCCTAGGTCTGGATTACAGGGTTGTGAGGGGAAAAAAACCCAATACCACCAAGTTTGACTTGTAGTCTTTTTTATTTTGTGATAAAAATGTTTTCATATAAATTTTACCTTAACTACTTTTAGCATGAAACCGAAAAGTAAAAACAAAAGTGTGCACTTTCCTTACTGTCTAGTCAGGAATATGCGGTCATTTTATTGGTTACTGGTTTCTCATACAAACAGATATAGTATCACTTTTAAGAAAAATATACACAAAGAAGTTGCCATAGTACCAAACAGTTATTGGTGGGGACCCAAGGAGGTGAACGCACATCCCCCAGAAGTTGACATACATTCAACGAAGGCCGAGACCAGGCACCCGGCCATGAGCCAACACAACATGCACCTTTGGTTCTTTCATGAGGACTTAGGAGCTGGCAAATTAAACCAGAACAAATGGACTTCATGTCCTAACTGCTTTTGCTAAAATCTTTAACTCTCGGTCCCTCTTTCCCTCAGACTTCCCCTCCCCCACTGTCATGTAAGTCAGAAAATGATGTTTGAAACAAGACGGAAGAATCCAGATCAGGACGTCAGAGAATGAAATAATATATGAAAATAACAATAAACCAAAAACTGGGAGCATCTGTGCATGACATAGAAGATGTATCCTACTGGAGCGGGAACGTGATTACCAGTGACTATTGTTAAGTCCACAAGACTAGTACAGTGAGAGGAAGTGCCATGATTGTCACCAGGGCCTGCTGGTCCTACTGACGGTGTTCACGTTCCCTTCCCCAAACCCACAAGACCCCAATTAAAATGTTCCCAGAGGGAGAAACAGCATGAGGCCTACACGGGAGTCTGGGCAGGGAGCCTAAGGCAGTGGTGGGCAGAGGGGCAGAAGTGATGTGCTCCACACTTCTCCCATCTGTAACTATCAGGGGGGTCCAAAGGCAGAGAGGCACCGTTCAGAATGCACACACATACACCGCAGAAGGGGCTGGCAAGATGGTATCACAGGAGGGAACGAAAACGTTAAGAGCAAACTTAATCTGCCATATATCCTGGCAGAACAAATTATCCAATAAACCTGGAGGAGACAGGAATACTCCAGCAGCCCTGCTTACCAATGACTGTGCAACAGACTGCAGACCTTCCACAGGGCAGGCGGGCAGGCAGACAAGTGAGGCAAGCAGGAAGCTGGAACACCCACCCATGGCAGAAATGAGGATTATCATTTAACCGGAACGGAGCAGCCTGTCCTTGTGATATACACAAAATGTCCCAGGTGCCCTGAGCACCCCGGTACCAGGCAGAAATGAGTGTGGCCCCAGGACCACTGAGGCAGCAAAGGGGAAGAGGAAGGAAACCACTGTTTGTACAGTTGACTAAATGCTGCTGCTTTGGGGGAGAATCAGGGGTCACAAGACCTGGAGCAATGGTGCTGGGCACAGCTGGCATCACCATCCTCTGAATGGCAGCTCTAGGAAAAGCCTTGGCAGGTTCAAGATAAGCCAACAAAGGTGGAACAGCAGACTGTTCTGGAGGGAGGGGATGGGAGGAAGAACTAGCAAAGGCTGACTCACAGTGCACCCTAGGAAATCAACGCCCCATTTCCGGTGCTTGATCAGAACATCGGTCTTCAGGGGGGCACTGTAACTCAGCTCACAGTGTGGAGAGAAACTGGCAAAGGGGCTTCTGATCTAAAAGGCCTTCAGGAAAGGGGGGGGGGTTGTCTGGCTCCAAGTAGTGGAGTGCTTGCCTAGCAAGCCCAAAGTGCTGAGTTCCAATCCTAGTATTGCCCTTTCACTCACACACACACGAAATAGAGACTGATAGAAAGTGATGACCAGAGGATAAGGCCAGCGCGGTCCCACAATCTGGTGTGGCCGGAGACATTTTCTTCGGTGGAGACACATGGAAGGTTAGAAAGCGAGGACTAGTGCCACCTCCTGGAAGAACAGGGGAAGCAGGGCTCCTAGGATTGGGGACCCATGTCCTTTACACTGGCAGGCAATGGAATGTTTGACTGGAGTGGAGCCTGCTTCCAGCCTGAGTTGGCTTATCTCCCCACCACTCCAACATTGCACTCCTTTTGCTGGTTGATTTTTTTTTTCTTAAAAAGGAGTAAGATCATCGTGTCTAGACAGTTGGGGTGACACTTCACACTGACGAAGCCCACACACTTACACAGCTGATGGGAAGAGAATGAGGGTGCATTCTCTTACAGGGTTCTCCTGTCCCCAGATTGGTCTGAAGAAAAAGGTTCCCATTCTCCCTCTAGGAGTGACATGTCAAGTGCAACACGTCAGACTTTCACAGAAACATAGCTGCGAGGCCGCTGCTGAGAGCCTAAGGGAAGCAAGCCTCGTGGATCATTCGTCCCAACGTTCACTGTACCCAGAGGAAAACACAGGGTGAAGCAGAAAGGATTTCCAAGGTCGAGGAGGCGAGCCAGTGGCACAGTTCCAGCATGCATTTTCCAATCGGACCCTTGTGTAGAATCTTCTAGCATAGAGCAGAAGCCCTCCCTAGGGCTTAAAATGCAGTCCGAGCTGCAAGCATGTCTGGGCTACAAAAGGCATCCATCTTGTTCTAGGACAAGAAGAGAGGCACACGGCCCCCGAGTGCGTGTTCCCTGCGTGTCCCGGGCCTTAGTCTGCTGGGCAAGGGCCGGGGAGGAGCCAGGCCCTCCCCACGGGCCTCGCAGGGACCCAGCGGAGCTGGGCGGCTGTGAGCCAGAAGCATCTCCTCTCTCTCGCCTCCCAAAGCTGGTTACTGAGATTTCTTCATCTACTTCCCGATGACCTTCATTTGTTCCTCAGCAGCGTTTTGGAGCAGCGGCTGTCTGCACGGACGCTTGCTCTTCAGGCGTACACCTGCATCTTGCTGTGTGGCGGCTCGGCCATGTGTGTCCCAGTTCCGCGCTGCACGCCTGCAGCGCCGCCGGGAGTGGGGCTGGTGGTCACATCTGACCAGTCGGAAGCAGAGTGGGGCGAGGAACTTGACCACTGGTCCGGCGACTCTGGGGATGGAGTCAGGTAGGGGTGCTCGCCCGGCAGGGGGCCACTGTGGCTGGGGGTTCGCTCGGCAGCACTGGAGGAGGCGTAGCTGTGCTGGGAGGGAGGGGTGGGGTACTTGCCCACGGAGGCGGGGAAGGGGTGGTAGGCGGGGAGAATGGTGTGCGCGCCCTGCCCGTCCTGCTGGGGCATCATGGCGGCGGGGAACGCCACGCTGGGCAGCCGGGCCATCTCTGGGATCTGATACATGGCGGGCAAGGGCCCGGCCACGGAGGGAGCG